CTATATGATCAAATAATCAGACTTAACTTGTAAAGAAATTAATCTTCACTTGGCTTTATTTGAGAAAACTGAAGGTAACTTAGGAAGAAAAAAGTTTATATTTTAGTGGATATTAAATTCTAGTTTTGTTAATTGAGGTCGATATTTACTAAGACACTTCCCAGATCATTCCTTGCTGTTATGTCACATTGCTGTACAGTTTAATTGAATTATGAAAAGGAAACTCTAGGTTTGTTTCTGAAGCTCAGTAATCTATCCTTGGGTAAAGATCCAATACTCCATGACCTGCAGCCAGGGAAATATACATACTGAAACAGGCATGACTTAAAAAACTGTCTCCAACCCGAACGGAAGGACCGTTTGTCAGGTACTCTTAACTAGACCATACACACCAAAGCTGAAGGAAACGGACTCTCGTATTCATTTCCTATCAGAAACAGCGCCTGCAGTGTACTGGCCTATAGAGCACTGCTCACCTTAAAACAGCGCCCAAATGGTGAAAAAGCTACCAGGCCAGGATGAGAAGAAGATGACATTTGAGCAAGACAGCTGACCCAAGACACCTTACCAGGCCTGTATACCAATTACTTTGATAATTTCTCCTACCTTTGATTATGAACTACTCCAATTGTTAAGTTTATGGTAAATTACCTTTGTCTAGTACTTCTGTGTTACCTTGGTGTGTTTCCCTACTCCAATTCTCCAACTAGATAGCCCTCAGAAATGTTATTCTCAAAAGAAATTGTAATTCTGCTAAGGCCACTGTTGATCTTACATGGTGGGAGACTTCACCTGGCCAATTAATACCTGCTCTGAGCCTGACCATAAATATGAGCTTTCTCATAAGGTCAAACTCAATCAAATACACAAGCAAAATTTTAACACAAAAATACAACTTCTCGACTATTAAATTCTTACTCATGACTTTATTAACGTTACTAGCTGTATTATTATATCCTGTCTATTTTATAAAATTGTTGTCTGTTACATTTCCCAGTGTGTAACTAGGTCTACAAGATTGATGGTGGCTAAACATCTTGAAGAAATAGATAAAATTTATAACCCTGCATAAAATAATTGAAATAGTGTGATTCTAGGTATGGGAATGAGCAACAAAGGGTAAACACTTCCTGGATCATAATAGACTAGTAAGACAGGTGATCCAGAGAACTTTTAGTATCAACAGGGCCTGATAAAAAAACAAACACCTTGCATGGCAATTCAGAAGATTCTTTACCTGAGCTAGGAATGAGCCATCCTAGCACCGTGGGACAAAATTGGTCATCAAATGTCTCTCAAAATATTGGTCGAATTTAGGACCAATGGGGAGCACTGTGAATGAAAATACTACAATGTGAATGAAAATACTGCAACCATGTCAGTAAACAAAGAATGCTGAATCCAAGTCATCAGCGGCTGCTGCCAAACCCCAGCGAGTACATGCCTGCAGCCCAGCCTCCCAGCCACTCAGAGTGTTGCCCTCTGAGCGACTCAGAGTAAGAAAGGACAGGATACTGGCCCCAGACAGGTAGGTATTTGCCAAAGGTATGAATTCTATGACCCAAATGTTTGCTTCCCACCATTCATAGAAAAGCACTAAATACTTGAAATTGAGATATCTGGTTTTCTTTAGATAACAAGCAATCTTTTACTGTTCCAATTACCTGGTCTTTGTTGTAAAGCTTCTATATATCCTAGCTCCTCCCCTACGTCTTGGGAGCAGTCCCTCAGAGTGATCTGAGAGGCTGTCATCCCAGCTCGAGTCCTCCAGCCAAATAAAACATAACTATTAAATTTTACGCTGAACGTTTATTTCAATGAAGTCCCAGAATAGACACAAATCGTCAATTCTGTATTGGAACACACTGGATCAGGAACCAAAAGCGTGTTTAGTCCAGAAAAACTACGGGTTCCTTTCTTCCTGTCATTATACAATCCCACCAGAACTCATTAATTTTCTGTCTGCTCCTCTGGCAACCAAACTCATAGAAGAGTCAACTCAGCAGAGCCCCATGCTTGGGAGAACCTCCCGCAGCAGCACTGCAGGCTACCTGCCCTCCCGCAAGCTCTGCTGACCCTTGGTGTCCTCCGTGGAGACCAGGCCAACAGAGCTCTTCCCAACAGCAAAGTCGCACACGTTAAATAAATCATTTGATTTTATACAATATTTTACGTATATACCCATCTCTGAAAACAGATTTGCCAGAAGCCCAAATCTTGAACATCAATCTGCAAAGGCAAATCCGGTCCCCAAGGGAAAACAAGACTTAAGATGACGCAAAGGCCTCCAAAGTCCTCTCAAGGACCCTCAACCAAACTGCCTACAGGTCTGCAGCTGCAGGCGGTTACATGTCTGCTTTTAAATCAACCCCTTCCTGCCCTCGAGTGCTACAATGTCCCTCTAGGCCCTCCCTTCTCAGGGTAAGAGCAGCCTCTGCAGAACCTTGCAGGGAAACATTGACAGGACTGGACAAAGTGGATCAGAGCTAAACTAAGCCTTATGATAGCACGAGCTGATCACTCTGTCACTTTACAGATGAAGATATGTATAGAGAGAGGTGGGGTGATATTGTTCAAAGTCACACAGCTCATAAGTGGCAAAGTCTATAACTCTGTTCTTCCCTTTGGCGTGACGCTGCAGCTGGGATGCCCACAGGGTTCTCTCGTGCCTACCTGAACAGTCCTTTCCTGTCACTCATAACCCACCACAGGGTCTGACCGTAGCCTGCCTTTTCAGCATCTTTTCCCTCCAGTCTCTCAGGAACAAGGCGGTTTGGGCCACTATATGACTTCCAGCTCCAGGAAACCTCCGTGTTCAGGCTGATCTCGCCTATGAATCCGGCCCCCTGCTCAGAGGCTCTTCCTCTCCTGCAGGAGGACATTTCCACTCTCCACAGGGACACCCCCTCAGGGAGCCCTCCTCTCACCCACAGCACGGCAGGTGTCCCAGGTCACGTCCCGAGCAGCCCCATTAGGACTGCGGGTGCCCAGGTCTGCTAATCAGACCAGCAACCTCAGAGCCAGGGATTATGCCCCGGCCACCCTGCAAACCTACTGCCCGCCTCACAGCCCCCAGCCAGCAGGTCACCTGGAAGTCACAGCAAGTGCCCCACCCAATCCAGAAGCCTCTTCATTTGCTAGCACCGCTGATGACTGGTTTCCAACCTTTGGTCAATTTTGCACAAAACAGCACCTTCAACTGTGAAGCAGGGGGTTTTCGCTTCTGCTCCCCATACTTCCTGGAAACGTCAAGGGAAACGAAGAGGCCTTTTCTCAACACTTTTCTGATGACACCCTCCCACCCACAATAATCACATGCTCAAGAGCTTTGGGTCCACGTGATTTTGTTTCCCTTACACTAAGTGGCTCAAAACACTGCGGGATTCTTTCTCTTTTGAGGGTATTTGTACTCAGTTTATTGGCTTTAATCTGTTTTTGTCTCTCTCTTCAGTATCCCAAGCAGTTACCACTTCTTACTCCCTTC